GTTACTGTACATTCAGTGGTCTACCCCGTCCCATGTAGGAGTAATTCAGATAAATATAATGGAGGCATTTAGGTCTGAAGCATAGTTTTAAAGTCATAAACACACTGTTATAAGTTTACTGAACTAATATATATAAGACAGAAAATACCTCTAAGGGTAAAAATTGGTATCAGCTTACATCAAAAGCACTAAAGAAGAGCATTAAAAATAGAAATTTGCAGAAAGCCAGCTGATCACTTCAATTTCCTCTAGTTTCTTCTTATAGAAGGAAATAAAAAGGACTAAGATGTGCTATGTGTATGATGATATATGTACCAACTCCCCTCAATAAATGCATTCATTATATATTGGGAACACATACTAATAAAAAATTAGAGAACTGAGCCATGGACAGGTTAAGTACTTTAGTCACGCCACTGTGAAATAATTTGATTTTACAATGAAATAACTGCTCTAATTGCGTGTGATTCTCCCATCAATTTCAGTATCATTTGGTAGGTTGCAATGATGGAATCTAATTTAAACATATTTATACTATCTTCTTATTAAAAGACCAAAGGCTTTGGCAATACAAAAAAAAAGCCTCAGGATTTGAGATGATTCCCATTCTGCTCTAAGGTATAGATACTACTGAAATATTCACACAGGAGATACAAGTATTTTCCTCCTTAATGTCCATGGGTAAGCATAAAATCCAGTGGGGGAGGAGACATAATTCTGAGAAATCTTATTAGGGCATCTCTAACTTGCGATAGGAGTTGTCAGCATTTGTAGCATGGTGGTCTTAGAAATGACTTCAAGAGAAGTAAAAGAACACTACCTAACTTACTATCCTCAATAGTACATGATATAAGGTTGTAGTAATAATGAACTCTAAAACATAACATGCACACTCCAAAAATGTGGAATCTAAAGCCCTAGCCTACACGTGTGGCTTTGGGCAAATTACCCAGCCTAATGAGACACTTCATTTAACAAGTGGAAGTCATACATCATCTTTCTTCTTAAATTTATGGTAATAATAAAATATTGAATTATGAAAGCAATGTATTTTAAAGGCCTTTATAGATTATCATTGTTATCATAGCATTTTTCTGATGAAAAATCAGACTGAAAAATCTGTTTTCCAAATCCTTATCCATAAATTTCATCTATTTGATCTATTAGTAATCACTCTAAAGTGCAAGGTCCCAAGTTCAATCCCCGGTACCAAAAAACCCAATCTATTTGATCTGATTAATACTATATAAAGATCACAATATGTATGTATCATAATTATTAAAGACCTATAGTAACTACAGGGCTTTAGTGATTAATAAATAGATAATGAATGAATGAGATTTATTCATAGCAGAATCTACAATGATAGAGTCCCCAAGTGATTTAGATGGGATTTATATATTGAAAATCAGATTATTCAAGTAACTCCAGACCACCTACTGAAAGCATCCCAGGAGACCTGTCAAGTTATAAGAACAAAACTGTTGATTACAAATGAAGTCCAGAACTTGACTCTGGGTTTACTAGTAACCGGAAAAGGGAAGGGAATGTGTGAGTTATTATTTGAGATTCAAAGAGCAAAACCTGTTTACTTTTAAATAAAGGTATTCTTCTGAGTCCTAACTTACCTGGCTAGTAATAACTTTTCTACTTTACTAGTCCAATGATTGCTGTTTATATTAGAAGTACATAATAAGCAAAGCTGTTTTACGTTTAGTCATCCAAATGAGTAAAGGAGTTTGGAGAAAATAATTAAAATGTATTGTTTAAATTCGCCTCAAATGTGAAGGGCCAGAAAAATGAACTATTTTTTTCTACAAGTAGGCATGCCCAGGGCAACCAAAGTAAAGAGGTACATGTCTAATTAGTGTGTTAGTCACTAGGAATGCCTTTAAAGCTTTGGAAAATTTGTCTTGCGTTAATTTGCATAGCTGGTTCTTATTCAACACTTAATTGCATTTCTCCTTTCAATAAGCTTGTTTCTCTCCACTCAGTTTTTAACCACTGCAGAGATGGTATTTTTAAATTCTCAAAATTTAAAAACTAAGTAGAACTCTTTGCTATAATCAAGTGTTAAGAACTAACCAGAATTCCGATCAAAGATATTGACAGGAATCAGTATTTATTATGGCCAAGAAAAACAAGTAAGTATTTCCTAGATTATCAAAATGTAACATATTTTCAGAGTAGTGGGTTTTTATCATCCTTGGCTTATTTTTCACATTTTTTGGCAGGGATGTTATTAATAATGGTAATAGTAATTAATAGTAGTGGTAGACATGTTAGGAATTGCAGTAGCTGTTTCTCCTTCACTGGTTATAACAACTCTAATATTCATAGAAGTTATAATTTATAGTAATGTTGCAATAATGGAAATTATAACCATAACTCTTACTATTAACAAATGCTTCTGTATTTTAACTTAGTTCTTTGGAAACAATGTGAAATTTTACTTTGGAAATATGGGTAATTGTAGTCTTTGAAAACTCTCTGAACAAAGGAAGCAACAGTTAATTGTCCCCGTAATATGAAAATTGAGTTACAGAGAATAAAGAATAATATCTTGCCGAATCTTTGTTGAAATAGTGAGGGATTCATGTGTATATCTCATTTATTTTAAACATTAACAGTAATAATTACATAGGCAGAATCTAAAGAGGTTGATCTAGAGAAGTTGAGAGTAGAACACAGATTACCAGCGACTGAGAAGAGTAGGCTGAATGGTAAGAGACTGACTAACATAACATGACAGTCATATAGAAGGAAGAAATTCTGGTGTTCTATGACACGGAAAGTGAATATAATTAACAATAATGCACTGTCTATCTCAAAGTAGTTAGAGAAGATTTTTAATACACTCAGTATAAAAATATGATAAATGCATAAGGGGATGGATATGCTAGTTACCCCAGTTACCCCAAGTTGGTCTTTGTTCAATACTGTATAGCCATGAATCAAAACATGTGGTATTGGGGCCGGGGATTTCACTCAATGGTTCTGGTGCCTGCCTCACAACCACAAGGTCCCAAATTTGATCCCTGGTACCAAAAACAAAAAACAAAACAAAATACCCATTACATGATATTCATAAATACATGCAAATATTATGTATCAATCAAAAAATTGTTTAATGAAAAAAGAAAAATAAGTATCTGAAATCATCAAATTTTGTAACTCTATTTCTAGGAATTAGTGCTGCTTTTCTTATGTAGTTGTTTTGGAAAATGGATTTGGCACTGATTTAAAATTATCTTCCTGCCTTGAATTACTTCCCTCTGTCCCCTAAGTTAAAGAGTTTCTTCTGTTAGTGCATAGAGATACAGAGAAGGGCTAGAGCCATCTGGAGCTGTCCTCTCTGAAAAAATTCTGTCACAGTGCAATTCAAATATTTTACTTAAAGGTTACATCTGTTGAATTCTTGTATCCATTTTAACAATGAAATTTTAAATACATGCTGATGAGGATAAGAATAAAAATAAATCAGCTGGGTATTTAGCTCAGTGACATAGTGCCTGCCTCACAAGCGCAAGGTCCTGAGTTCGACCCCCAGTACAAAGTAAAATAACAGAAATAAATCATAGACCCCCCAAAACAGTTAACCTTTATGTTTATAATTTTAAAGTTGTGGCACTAGACTTTGAACATTAAGAATATGACCAAAAATCTAGACAGAAATAAAATAGAAACAATAACCATATCAACATAATGTTTCCTAGTAAAGAACTTTCAAGATCTTTTTAATAAATAAAAAATGATTTACTAAATCTGTAAATAACTACAGATTTAATTCTACAATAGCTTACTTAAAAACCACAGTTCAGAATTTGGAGAAATAAACACCACAATATGCCAATAAAATCATAAGTGAGGTAACACTACTTTGACACTTAAATACCACACAGTTATTTAAGTGATTTTAAAAAATCTTGTATGTTTTATTAATTCTTGTGAAAATAGAAAAATGATCGATAGCAGCCTCAGATAGTTAACTCATGATTGCCTAATGACAATTGCATTGTCACAAATAATTTGTTTTGCATTTTATTGTATAATACTGTGTGTCCATTTGCATATTTATACTTAATTGTGCATTTCATAGATTAATATTTAAATCACTTAGCATTCCCTGAGCTGGCTTTCTTTCAAGCAGCTAAAGACTTTGGAGGCAAGGAGCCAGTATAGGATTAACAATTTGTCATGGATAATCCACAAAGTAAATAAATGTAGTGTGAATAATTGAAAATGGGTTAGAATCATAACATAAGAGCTATTGAAAGTTAATTCAAAGACGAAGTCCTCCATAGTAAATTCTGTCTCATTATCCAACTGCTAGCATAGACTGGCATTGATAACTCTCTAAATAGAGGCACTTGTGTGTTGTCAATATTTTGCCATCTTATCTGGAAACATACAGACTTTATCTCCTTGATAGGATTCTACTATTATAAAGGCTTGAGCAATCTGAGAAATTTGAAAGCCTCACCATGGGTATGTAGCCCTCTTTCAATTAAAAACAAACAAAAGGAATAGAAAATATTCTCTGCACTTCAGCATGTGACAATTCTAAAATGTCCTACCCTAAATTCGCAGTTTAAGAAAATCCAAATAAATATCATGAAAATAAATGTATTTGTAAAAGGGACTTTCATACTAGTTAATGTCAAAATAATAAGGGACTAATAATAGAAAATCTGAATATTTGGGTGTTTGTAATACTATATTAGCATTTTTCATCCTAATTATTTTTTCTAGGGAATAGTCACTTTTCCCACAATTAAATTTGTACACCTCATAGATTTCTGATTTTTCAGTCTGCAAAGTACTTCCAAATTATATGCCAGGTGTTATTAATCTAGACTAAGACATTATTTCCCTGTATAAAAATGTAACTTACGATATTTTATTTTCAAAATACGATTGTGATTTAGTTGGAGATATTTTAATATCAGTTTCATCTGAGTGTCTTTTTCTTAACGGATGTCATGTTTCCCTAATTCTAGGCTTCATATACACAGGAGAAGTTGTGCATCGAATGCTCACGGCCACTCAGTACATTGCACCTTTAATGGCAAATTTTGATCCCAGTGTATCCAGAAATTCAACAGTCAGATATTTTGATAATGGTGCGTATTGGTTAGCCTATTTTGTTGAATGTACATTTTGAAACATCAAGCATGAGATTCATGTTAACATTTCTGTAAGACTTTGGGGTTTTCTTGCAGGTTGGTAGCTGGGGCAATTCTTAAACTACAAATGTCCTGAAACAGCAAAGAACACTGTTAACCATTAGGATGTCATATAAAGCACATGGCCAGATGGTCCTCATTCTTCATTCATTCTTCATTCATTTTTCATTCATTCATTTGATAAATGTTTCTTAACACCTTATCTGCAGTGTAATAGAAGAGTTGTTCTAGATAACCCCTCGAGGAAAGCAAATACATTTATTTAGATCCAGTTTTGAAAGTATTTCCTGTTTTAAAAATCCACAAGAGTACAATTTTGCTAGTTCCAATCTTTAAGTGGAGGCAAGTAGCGTATTATGTGATATTAACAACCTATGAACTCTAGTTATCCATTAGATGAACACATCTTTTTACAAATATAAGGTAGTAAGTATTTAAAATATACTTAAAAATAAAATTTTTCTGACTTTAAAATATTAAATAGATCCTGTCAATATTTATCATGTGTGCTGACAACAATCTATCCCTATATTGGGGGGGGACAAATAAAATAGGGAAAACCTAAAATATTTTATTAAATGTCATTAACATCCAAATAAGAATTTCAGCACTCTAGGAGGCTGAGGCAGGAAAATAACAAATTCAGCTCCATCTCAGGCAACTTAGAAACTCAGCAAGAGCCTGCCTCAATATATTAAAACAGCTGAAAAAAAAAGGAAAGAAAAAAAGGGAAAAAAAGAAGAAAAATATTAAAAGAGCTGGAGGTTTAGCTCAATGTGGAGGCCCTTGGTTCAATCCTCAGTACTGCCAATAAAAATTATCATTATTATTAATTGATCATTGGTAATGTAAATAATATCATAATAAATAATCTTATAATAACAAATAATGTTAATATTAATAATATTACATGAAATCCAAACAATAAATTCAAGGTCTTGGAGGCAAACTTTTTTTGTTTCTATGTCTCATTGAAAACTTTATCTTTGGTAGAGAAAAGAAATTATGGGTAAAATAATATATTTTAAACAATTTGAATCACACCAAAAATGTAAAATGTAAACATTAGCCATAATAATTATTTGTCTGTTATTTTAAGAACTGATATATTTAATTCTTCCATTTTTTTTTTTGTTCACACTCCTAAGGTGGTAATGCATATGAATGTACAAGTAGCTTGCAAGTATATTTGAGGCACAAATCCAGCTAAAATTTTACGTGGAGCTTACTCGGCTCGCTCATACAAAATCACCTTAGAAACCTACTTGAATTAAGAAATGATTTGATGAAAGTTGATTATTTCCTAAGCGCTCTCACTTATTCAATGTTAGGGACATTGATTTATGAACACGGGATTCTGAGGAACAAGTTTTTATATAATTAGTATCAAAATCATAAAGTATGCTTAATGACTCTCCCCTTCATCTATTCTCTCATATACTGTCTTCCTAGAGAGCTCAATATTTGAACTTGACTCTTAGTTCAGTGATTTTTTAAAAATGTATGTGTATCTTTTCATCTGGCTCTAAATTCATTGAAAACAAAGGCTATGTCTCTGATGAGAAAACTACCTCAGTTCCTGGCCAACATACCTAAAGTAATAGGTCCTTAATAAATACTCAATGAATGGATAAATAAAAAATAAATAAATATAGGAGTTTTAACTCCTAAGAATTGTAACTATGTTACTACTAAAGAATTACGTTTTTACCTTATTAAATACTTTCTGTGGAATGAAAAGTGGGAATACTGAGTCTCTACAATATGATAATGAATGATGAGTAATTATTGTGTGTTTTTAATAAAGGAAGTACTTTCCAAAACTGTAAGACTCTTCACAAAGTCCTGTTTCAGCAGCATGCTGAAATATTCTCAACATTGATTGGCTAGGATCATTGATACAACGTGTAAGGCTGACAAGCAGCATTTTAGAAAAGCAAAACACCTCTAGAGGAGACAGCAGCAGGTTAGCATCTTTCTTTTATGATATTTCTATAAGAATTAAAACACTAGATTTTTAAAATGAGTTGATGCTTGGAAAGGCTGTAGCTTGCCTGAGTGGTAACTGTGATCTAAATCAATCACAGAATATTAATGCACAAAAATTGGCAAAGCAATAAAAGTAACCACTTTTACTAGAAAAATAATTTGATGGCTCATAAAGAATAAACAATGCAATAAAATTCTTATCAGTGATCAGAAAATCTGATCAAGTTTAGAATCAGAAAATTTGGAGTTGTTAATGACCTTAAGTAGCACTAGTTCATCCTAGTTCTGTTTTTGTTTTGAAGTTAAAGAACTGGTATCTGTTACTGATGAGGCAACTTTATTATGGTTAAGGAAACTCTGTCCCAGTAGGATGGTTTAGCAGCTCATGTGGTCTGATTACTGCATTTAAGTAGCTTCCGGCTCTTTGGAAATGTAGATTTAGTTCTTCAGTGCATGATTTTCTTTTAATCATATATTCTCTTACATCATAGTTTTTCAAGGAAATTGCCTTCCCGGTCCACTTACCAGTTTCCCATACAATGCATTGCTTGAAAAGCAATATTTTGAGTAAGGAACTGGTTACAAAAATACTAAGAAGCAGATCAGAGCCAACATTTATTTCTAAATGCCACTCCCAGTCACCTGCCTAGAGCAATATTTAATAAAAGGTGAAACTTGAAATATTGTTTCTTTGATAACAGAATAGAAATATTTAGCTTATTTTAAAATTTAATGAAAACATATATACTCAACAATCTTTCTGCTGATATTGTGTAAGAGCATTGAAATCAACAAATACCGGAGGAGCTATACCATAATAGAATATAAAACTTAACATTTACAGTGTTGTTTCTTAAAACTTTCTGCTAACATGACAGTGTTAGGAATAGCTTCATTGGGATTTTCATTAAAACATTTGGCTAATTCATGTAGAACTCTCACTTTCACTGTATTTTCTTGTATTCAATGCAGAACACCCTTGAGGACAAGAGTTATGGCTTCCCGTGTTAGAGGAGAGGAGGGAGCAGTGCACACAAGTTAGCTGTAGCCATCCTTACACAGAAGGATTACGGAGGCAGGACTTCGGTCTAGGTCCTCTGCCATCTAGCTCTTGCTACCACTGCACCACAAGGCTGTGATAGAAATTAAAGAGTGAGACAGAGACTGAAGCTTGAGAGTTAAAAACACGGGGCATGCAGAAGAAGTTTAGAGTCATTTCATGTGCAGAAAGCCTTGTAATCACAACATTATGGGCAGTTTCCCTCCTGGCTCAGATTACCTTCTAGCCTTTTCTACCTTAAAAGAGATGGTAGCATAGACCTGGACATGCCCATGGAAGGAAAGGCCTTGGGTCTTCTTGGCCAGAATCCGTGATGTTTCGCTCTGGCTAAAAGCACCCAGATCAAGTTCAATAACATTTTCTTAATTTCTAAATTTTTCCTCCAAAGAAATACAGTTTGTCTCTATAGTTCAATATCCCTTACATATTCACAATTGGATATTCAAAATATTTGAAGTGACAGTATATTTAAAGTTGTCAGCTAACTCAAGAATTTTTGTACATTACTAACAGCACAAAATGCTTGCTGAAAATATTTTGCCACATGATAGTGATTTATTTTTTTGAATCACATATCTTCTACAGAAGGTAAGCTTTCCTCTCTTAGTTCTGTGTTTCATTTTTAACACAACTTTTTGACAGCAAGACTTTTTTAACCAAAGAAAAAATCCAACATCTAGAACTAAGCAGAGGGCTTACCTGCTTTGTTTTCTTAAAAAAAAAAAAAATAGAATGCACCAGGTCAGTTGCATAGAAAATATGAATATTCATTGGTGATTTGAGTATTAAACAGTTTTTCAACTTATATTTCATGTTAATAGTTTCATAGTAAACACTGGCAGATTGAGGCATCAGATTTTAGCATACAGCCTGCAGATTCACCCCAGTGCACTTCAAGGGGACTTCAGAAATCTTAGCTCAGGGTTCTTCAAGCTACCTTGCAGCTCCTGGAAGCCATACAACAAAGACAGAAATGCAGGCATTGTGAATCAAAGAAGAAAATTCCCACTACTGTTAAAGGAACTTCTTCAATGTGGAAGAATATAACTAAGTATGGAAAAGACATTGTCACATCTTTTATAAGTGGGCCTGGGTTTTTTGAGTATATTCCTTCTTGGCATTTATCAAAAGTATTTGAAGTTCATTCAATCCACTTGGGCTGTTTTGAAAGTGGCTCATGGAAATTTAAGCAGACAGTGTCCATTAACATTAATGAAATTCCTAAGGCAAAATTCCCCCATACTGGCTTGGCTCAATATTAACCTTAGTATGAGGTTAGAGTTTTACCAAATATTTAGAGAATATTCAATCCTTTAAAAGTGATCCTAAATGCTATTTCAATATCAGAATTCCAATTGACCACATAAAATTGAAATAGCATAACTACTGTCTTTGAAGGCCAGACTAACATTCCTGTGAATTGATTCATATTTTTTTCTCATTGCATTTCTTCTTTCTCCCATTAGGGACAGCACTAGTTGTCCAATGGGACCATGTACATCTGCAGGATAATTACAACCTGGGAAGCTTCACATTCCAGGCAACTCTTCTTATGGATGGACGCATCATCTTCGGATACAAAGAAGTAAGTCATGTTTGGGTGATTTCCCTACCCTTTGACCTGGACCATGATCCTTTGCTTCAAGTGTCAAGTACATTATGTTTCAGTAATCAACTTAAAATATTGTTCTTACCAATTGATTTCTTTCACTTAAAAAAAATCTTTTTATGTTCTGGGTAGCACTGATATTTAATTTTGGGGGGTTTGGTTTTATTTTGTACTCTGATATCATTGGCATTATGGTTCAATAATTTTATAAAGTTACAGAATAATTATAGTGAAAGTACTAAGAAAAAAATTCTGACTTGGAAGAATTTCTCATCTGTATCTAAATGTTCATATTGTTTTTCTTTTGTTTTTGGCCTTGTTGATTTCTGTGACATTTTCTGGTTCTGATTCCAAAAGTATTAGTAAACCTAAAAACTTGACTAGCTCAGTAATTCAGTACTGAGGGTTCTAGGATGGTTGCGTCTACAATCCCTTCGGCTAATATTTATTGAAATCTGATAGGAATAATTAATTAGAGCCCTCAGTCTCAGCAAGAAGAAGGGAATTTAAACTTACGGCTTCTTTCATTTTAACAATTTGACAAAGTAAAGAATGAAAATGTCCTAAATTGTAGCCTTAAGTTTACAGAATGCTTAAACTAGAATAATAGTGTGTTTGATTTCAAATTCTTTTGACTGTGATTAAGGTCTATTTCATAAAGAACACAGGAATAAAGTTCCAAGATTTACAGATGTACTATCTTAGGCAGACAGTAGTTATGAGAGAAATCCTGACAATGTGAATTAATAATAGGTGTTATTAACCCATGGATTAATGGATATTTATGGTAATACAGACTCCTTATCTTTTCAACTGAAGGATTGTCTTTCCTTTTGGAAGATGAATACCTGATTATAAAGAAAACATTGATAAAAAAAGGATTCACTTTGGTCAAATCTGAAATCCATCTAGTTTAGTGGTGGAAAACTTATGGCACACATGCTGCAGTAGCTGTTTGTTATCATTGAAAGCTCAGAAGGTTTGTCATCACTAGATTCTAGCCTATAAAGTGAGGGATAAATTCTAGATAAACCAAATTCTACAAATCCAATAACTATGTCAGATCTTTCTACTGTTTCAAGGAGGTTTTCTACTTTTTTTTTTTCCACTTACGTGGGGCAATAATGTAAATGGACTCTCAGTATACTAATAATTAAATACAAGTAAAATATTTTATATGCATCAATAGTAATACTCAAAAATATATTTATCATGACATCTCACTATCTGAACTAAAAGCCTTCATAGAAGGATTGTATCATTTTAATTGTCAGAATCTGAAGTATTTATGTAGAAGTGACAGATGGGGCATTGAAATTTTTAAAACAATAATGACACTTAGGAAATTTGGTTTCTTTCAAAATTGCTATCGTTTTGATGACAAAAATAACCACCAAAAAAAAAAAATCAACAACATGGACGCTATTTGCTCATTTTTTGAGAACTTTGTTTCACATTGTTAAGCAATTTATACACTGTCTGAACACATAACAATTGACAAACAACTTGCATCATTTAGTGGTTGTTGAAGGTTTTGGCAATATATCCCAAATAAACCTTCAAATATGGTATAAAAATATATAACCTGGTAAATACAAAGACATTTTATACCTGAAATTTAGAAATTTATCCTGGAACTCAGCCACCAGGTCTTTATTTGTGCAGTAATAAACCGTATGACATTGTGAACAAACTTTTTGCATCTATTTCAAAAAATAACCCAAATTCAACATTTGTTTCACTAGTTACTTATTGATGTTACATTTCAAAAAGAAAAGAAAAAAAAAAACCCACCAGTTGACCATCACAGGAACTATTCTCAAAAACAAAGCCAAGATTTCTGAAAAAAAATGTTACAATTTCACAATAGAGAAATGTATAGTAAAATCTTTGGATTTCAGAAAGACATAACATTGGCCTCCTATATGGTGAAGAAAACTAAAGTAGTGTTGATACTCTCAACATTACACCAGGATGATATGATTGATAGTGAAGCCTGGCTTGATGGTGAATGCCTGTAATCCCAGCACTCAGGAGGCTAGAGCAGGAGGGTCCTGAGTTTGAGGTCAGCCTGTGCTACACGGTGTGTTCCAGGCTATCATGGACTACATTATAGTGAAGAAAAACAAATTAATATTGTTACTGTCAGTGATACACCATGATAATAAGACTGATGGTGAAGCCAGGTGTGGTGGTGCACACTTGTAATCCCAGTCCTGAGGGGAGGGAGCTGAGGTAGGAGGATCTTGTGAGCTCAAGGACAACCACTGCTACATAGCGAGCTCAAGGCTAGCCTGGACTAGTGGCAAGACCCTGTCTCAAAAAAACAAATGAACAGGAAAAGACTGATAATGAATCCTCAACACAAATGAAGCCAGAAATGGTCACATTTCACAAAAAAACTAAAGGTGGAGTAGATGTTCTTGAACAGTTATGCAGCAACTATGGTGCCACTCAAAACAAAGCATAGGCCAATGGTTGTGTTTTACTGGTTCGTAAACATGTGAAGGATAAATAGTTTCATTGACAAAGAAAATAACAAGCACAAAATATCACGGAGAAATTTTCTTAGAGGATTGGGACTGGAACTAATAAATGATCAATTACAACAGAGGATAAACAGTATCTATCTGCCCAAAATACTGCAAAAGAATTCTGGAGCAGACTGGTCCACAGACAGGTAAAACATCACAAGAACCTCCCAAGAAAATAGGAAGACCAGCGAGATGCCAAGTACGTCTTACCAAAGACAGGAAAATAAAACACATGTGCTATCAGTATAGGTGATACTTGTATATGGAACATTCTGTTCTCATGCGTGAAAACTGCCTTAGGTGTGATAATTGAAGCAAAGATTATTTCTGTGGTAGAGTTTTGTTTGTATTTTCATTGTAGTTCACATAGGAATTTATTTTTGTTGTTAATTTTGTAGATTTTGTAAGGAGGTAAACAGTTGATGCTGCCAGGCATGGTGGCACACACCTGTAATCCCAGCTCTAGGGAAGCTGAGGCAGGAGGATTGCCTCAAGTTCGAGGCCAGCCTGGGCTACTGTAATGAGATCAAGGCTAGCCTATACTACATAGTGAGATCCTGTCTCAAAATCAAACAACCAAACAAAAAAAATTTATGTTGAAAATGTCGATATTTATTTATACACTCTATACATTTCAAAAATTTAATATTTTTATTGATATTTTAATTCTGTTAAGTATACACTGTTTAATATAATAAAACTCATAAAATTAAAATTAATTCATCAATAGAAATATTTCTAAAAAATCAGTGTGGGTGTTGTACACCCCCATAATGTTCCTTTAAACAAATTTGGTGTGATGCCCTCAGGGAAAGAGTAAATTCAGATTTGCTCATAGCATTGAAGGTTTCTTCACCACTGACCAGGTGTTTTCTGTAATCATACTGGTAAGAAGTACAGGGAAGGTACCCATTTTAAAAATAGTAATTTCTTCCAGATTATAGCTCTATATTATTCAAAGATTTGCAATTCTGTTTTAACTTTTAGGCCCTATTTGTTACACAGAGTTTTTTTTTCTTTTAGTTAACATCAAAGACATAGATGACTTATGATGAAGCCAAAATTTAAAAAAAGAAAGATAATTTTAAATTTTCCCACAAATTATCATTTGCTATAGTGTATTTTTCAATTTCATGTCACTCAATTGTTTCTCCTACTGATTTGACTACCCGATAAAACTATCCTCTCATCTATTTCCTTGAATATATTAATAACACTTCTTTTAAAGTTTGTGGCCAGTGACTCCAGTGTTCTGGATTTTTCTATGCATTTGTTGCTATCATCTGTTTTTTCTTTCCTAAGTTTTCATTCATCTGTCACGTCTACTTCCATTCTAGGTAACTTTTGATCAAATATGGATGTTTACAAGATAGCAAAGAGATATTTTAGAGGTTGTAGATAATATTTTCTTCTCCTTCCTTTTTTTTGTTTTGTTTGGTATGGTTTTGGTTTTGGTTTTGATTCGTTGTTGTTGTTGTTTGGTACCAGGATCGAACTCAGGACCTTGTGCTTGTGAGGCAGGTGGCCAAACCTCTGAGCTAAATCCCCAGCCCAGTTTTGGCTTTGATTTTGATTTGGCAGTTAGAATAAGACAGGTTACTTAAATTTGTAAGGGGCTAAGCTTATTCAAAGTTGAGCACTGGTCTTCATAAAGACTGGAGTATTATACTCTTAAAATTATATTCTTTTTGGAATCTTGACCAAAAGCCAGGATATTTATGGACCTTTTGCCATAATGGCTCAGAAACCTTGTATTTTTCTTCAGCTTCATGAAACCGGCTAAAATTCCATTCAATTTCTCAGTCTCTGAACCTTCCTTATAAATGTGCAAATGCTGGATGAGAAAGTGATGTTGGTTTTGTTATTGGGTGGTTCCTTTCAGAAATGGCTTACCAATTAAATGTATTCCAGGTCTTTCTCACCTTGAACAAAGAATTGAATGAAAAAAAAAAACAATGCCAAAAGTTTATTTGAAAAGTAGGTGTGAGGAAGGAACTAGCTCTGCAGAGCAAACTTGGGCCAAACAAGAGAGTAAAAATAAAATAAACCGAAATAAAAGTGCACCCTGGTTTGGAAGACATAGGCCGGGTCACCGTAGAGAGACAGGATAGCAGGCTCCTCGTGGCACCTGTGTGCTTATATGTCATCCACATCTCCTGGGAATCCTGGGGAAGTTCTATATATGGGGGTCCTGAGAAGCAGTGCTGTGTAGATCCTGGGGTTCCACCATGCCTCTCTTCCCAGCCATCTTAAGCCATGCCATTTCCTATCTCAGTTTTACTTCTGTGATTTTCCTTCTCTGGGATCTTGTCTTTCCTGTCGTTACTTTTTGATATCTACCTAATGCACTCATCAGATGCTTTTCACAAATTTTTCTATCTTTCCTGCTTATTCTAAGTAGTAAGAATGTTACTATGTGAGTTTATCTGCCATAACCAAAAG